CATTAGAGACAGAGAGAGAGGCAGAGACACAAGCAGAGAGAGAAGCAGGCTCCTCACAGGTAGCCCGATGTGGGACTCGATCACGCCCTGAGCCAAAGGCAGATGCTCAACCTCCTGAGCCACCCAGGCATTCCAGGTTTTATAGTTTTAATTCTTAGTTTAAGTCTTTCATCCATTTTGAGTTAAACTTTTTTTAAAAACATTTTATTTATTTATTCATGAGAGACACAGAGAGAGGCAGAGACATAGGCAGAAGGAGAAGCAGGCTCCATGCAGGGAGCCTGATGTGGAACTCGATCCCAGGACTCCAGGATCACGCCCTGGGCCGAAGGCAGGCACTAAACCACTGAGCCACCCAGGGATCCCCTAGTTAAACTTTTTTTGAGTTAATTTCTTTAGATGATGTGAAGTAAGGATCTAATAAATTCATCCTTGTACATGTGGATATCCAGTTGTTCCAGTATCATTTATTGAAAGCCTGTCCTTTCTCCTTTGAATAGTCTTGGTACCCTTGTTAAAAATAAATTAACCATATATGTATGGATTTATTGTAAACTCTCAGTTCCATTCCATTGCTCTATATTTATGTCAGTACCACCTTGTCTTGATTACTGTGGCTTTTGTGGTTTTGAAATCAGCAAATGTGAGTCCTCAAACTTTGTACTTGTTCAAGATTGTTTTGGCTATTCTAGATTCCTTGCAATTACATGAGAAGTTTAGGATCAGCTTGTCAGTTTCTGGAAAAAAAAAAAACAGCTTGTATTTTGATAGGGATTGTAGTGAAGCTATAGATTCATTTAAGGAGTATAGCCATCTTAATAATGTTAAGTCTTCAATCCACAGACATGGGATATCATTCCATTTACTTGGGTGTTCTTTAATTTCTTTCAGCAATGTTTCATAGTGCACAAATCTTGCACTTATTTTGTTAAATTTTTCCTAAGTATTTTATTCTTTTTGATGCTATTGTAACTGGAATTGTTTTAACTTTATTTTTTATTGTTCATTTTTAGTATATAGTACTACCATTAATTTTTATATATATTGATTTTGTAACCTGCAACCTTGCTAAACTTGTTTATTAGTGCTAATTGTATGTATGTTTGTGTGTTCTGTAGGGTTTCTTTTTTTTCTTTTATTTTTTAGATTTATTTATTTATTTATTTATTTATTCATAGAGACACACAGAGAGAGAGAGAGAGGCAGAGACACAGGCAGAGAGAGAAGCAGGCTCCATGCAGGGAGCCTGACATGGGACTCGATCCTGAGACCGCAGATCACACCCTGAGCCAGGGGCAGGTGCCCAACTGCTGAGCCACCCAGGCGTCCCTGTAGGGTTTCTATATGTAAGTTCATGTCATCTACAAATAGAGATGGTTTTTATTTTTTTCCCTTCCAGTCTGGATGCCTTTTTTTTTTTTACCTAGTTGCCTTGGCTAGAACTTCTCATACAATGTTGAATAGAAATGTTGAGAGTGAGTATCCTTGTCTTGTTCCTGATCTTAGGGGAAAAGCTTTCACTCTTTCACTATTAGGTATGGTATTAGTTTATGTAAGTGTTAGTAACTGTGGGTTTTTCATAGATGCCCTTTATCAGGTAGAGGAAGTTCCCTTCCATTCCTAGTATTTTAAAAGGGTTTTGAATTTTGTCACATGCTTTTCTTTGGTGTTTATTGAGATGATCATTTGTTTTTTTTTTCTTTTGTTCTATTACAAAACAACTGTGTGTTGTTTTGATTAATTTTTTATATGTTGCACCAATTTTGCATTCATGGGATAAATTCTACTTGGTTATGTTCTATAATCTTTTTTATATGCTGCTGGATTCAGTTTGCTAGTATTTTTTGTTTTTTTTTGTGGACTTTTTCCTGTGTATTCTTTTTTTTTTAAGATTTTATTTATTTATTCATGAGAGACACACAGATAGGGAGAGGCAGGGACATAGGCAGAGGGAGAAGCAGACTCCATGCAGGAAGCCTGATGTGGGACTTGATCCTGGGACTCCAGAATCACACCCTGAGCCAAAGGCAGGTACTTAATTGCTGAGCCACCCAGGCATCCCTTGCCTGTGTATTCTTAAGCAATATCAGTCTCTATAGTTTGTTGTTGGTGGTGTACCTTTGTCTGATTTTTTAATAAAGATTTTATTTATTCACGAGAGACACAGAAAGAGAGGCAGAGACACAGGCAGAGGGAGAAGCAGGCTCCATGCAGGGAGCCTGATGTGGGACTCGATCCCGGGACTCCAGGAGCACACCCTGGGCCGAAGGCAGACGCTAAACTGCTGAGCCACCTAAGGATCCCCAACCTTTGTCTGATTTTCCTATCAGAATAATACTGGCTTTCTACAATGAGCTGGGAAGTGTTTCCTCCTCTTTTGAAAAGTTTGTGAAGCGTTGATATTAATTCTTTGAACTTTTAGTAGATTTCACCAGTGAAGCCACTTGTCCTGGGCTTTTCTTTGTGCAGTTTTTTGATTACTAATTAAATCTCTTTACATGGGATAGTCTATTCAGATTTTCTGTTCCTTTTCCAGTGACTTTTGGTAGTTTGGGTTATTCTATTGTTCCAGGAGTTTGTCCATTTCGTCTAGCTTACCTAATTTGTTGCCATACTGTCATTCGTAGTATAATCTTACACATCTTTTTATGTCTGTCAGACTAGTAATACTCTCTTGATTTTTTAAAGTCCTAATAACATTAGACTATTTGTAACTCCCTAAATATGCTGTGCTGTTTTGGCTTTGCACATAGTAGTCCCACTGCTTAAAATATTAGTTTCTATCAGGACTGTTGGCTTTCTTTCTTTCTCTTTTTTTTTTAAGATTTTATCCATTTGAGAGAGAGCACACACACAAGCAGGGGGAAGGGGTAGAGGGAGAGGGAGAAGTAGGCTCCTCGGTGAGCAGGGAGCCGGATGCTTGATCCCAGGACCCTGGGATCATGACCAAAGCTGAAGGCAGATGCTGAACTGACTGAGCCACCCACTGCCCAGGACTGTTGACTTTCAGTCACCTCCTCATGAAGCCTTCCATGACTGCTTCACATAGGCTTGGTGCTTCCACCTCTGTGTTCCCATTACACAGTATTACATTTTTCTATTTAAGAACTTACCTCCAGGGATGCCTGGGTGGCTCAGTGGTTGAGCATCTGCCTTTGGCTCAGGTCATGATCCCGGGGTCCTGGGACTGAGTCCCACATCGGACTCCCTGCATGAAGCCTGCTTCTCCCTCTGCCTGTGTCTCTGCCTCTCTCTCTGTGTCTCTCATGAATAAATAGTGTTTATTTATTTATTTATTATTAAAAAAATTTTTTTATAAATAAAGTCTTCTAAAAAAAACTTACCTCCATTTAATTTTCCTCACTAAACTGAATTCTATAAACCAATGTTTATTGCATGTCTGTTTTCTTTCTAGTACTTTGCTCTGGGGATAGAGTAGTTAGACAGGCATGATCTCTGCTAATCTCTGATCCCATGGACCTTACAGTCCAGTGGGATAACAGAAAAATAAAGTAATTATGATTATGGGAAGTCCTGTGAGTGAAACAAAGGGCTCATACAGAGAATCTCATGAAAATCTCTTTGAAAAGTTGGTCAGAGAAGGTCTCTATGACTAGGTGGTATTCGAACTGAGACCTCAAAAATGAGAATTGGAAAGAAGTGAGAAGAGCATTCCAGAAAGAGAGAAGAGTATATGTGAAAGGTCAGAGGTAGGAAACCACTTGTTTGTTCAAAGAACAGAAGCCTGGTGTGGCTAGTTCATAGGAAGGTAAAGAGGGCATCTGTGAGATAAAACGGGGAAGGGGGACCAATTACATGCTCAGTTGGTGCCTGGTAGGCCATGGTAAGGAGTCTGGATTTTATTCTAGGTGTCTTAGGAAGCCACTCTTGCATCTGTTTAAAGAATGGTTTGGAATGAAACAGTAGTGGAGGCAGATTCTAGAATAGCAGTTAAAGTTTGTATGTTAGCTATGAATTTAGAATAGGGAAGGCCTAAATGAATATCACACACATGCTCGCATGCACATACTATTGATTTGACTGCACAAAATTCTAAAATTTCCACATGGTGGGGGCTAGTCAAAGACAAATGTCAAACTGAGGAAGAAATATTTATATGGCCCGTCAATATTTGAAAGTCTCCTTAAAGTAAAAAGGCAACTCAAAAGGCGAAAGATAGAAACTGATAGTTCACCCCCAAAAAGAAAACACAAATGCCTATAAAATATATGAAAAGATGCCTAACTTCACTTCTTAAAATAAGAAATGCAAATATGAGAGCATAGTTTTCACGTGCCATATTGGCAGTCATGCATTTTAATAACATACTGTGTTGGTGAGACTGGAGTAAAACAGGAACTCTCACATTGGTGGTGGGAATGTAAATCGGTTCAGCTTCCCTAGAGAGTCATTTGGCAGTATTTATCAGAATTTAAAGTGGATACACTTCTAGGAATTTATCCAACAGGTGAAAAGACATTTCAGTTCATCCACACAAAGGAATACAATGCAGCCCTTATGAAGAATGAGGCACCTCCTGTGTCAATTGGTAAGGAAGGGTCACATAAATATTTTCTAACCAGGACACATTTTTAAGTAAATAAAGAAGTAGAGAACAATAAGTCAATCGGAGAAGGACAAACATATGGTCTCATTCATTTGGGGAATATAAAAAATAGTGAAAGGGAATAAAGGGGAAAGGAGAAAAAATGAGTGGGAAATATATCAGAAAGGGAGACAGAACATGAGAGACTCCTAACTCTGGGAAACGAACTAGGGGTGGTGGAAGGGGAGGTGGGCGTGGGGTGGGTGTGATCGGGTGACAGGCACTGAGGGGGGCACTTGATGGGATGAGCACTGGGTATTATTCTATATGTTGGCAAATTGAACACCAATAAAAAATAAATTTATAAAAGTTAAAGTAGAGAACAATATAAGGTATGCAACATTTGTCTAAAAAGGAAAAGAAATAAAGTATATTTTCTTTATATATCAATAAGGATTCTTTGCTTGTATCATCAACTGTCTCTGGGAGGAACAGAAGAAACCAGAAAGAGTATTCGCCTCCAGGGAAGAGAGGCACCCACCCCTAGGTGGGTGAAGGGTGGGCGGGGAGGGTATTTACTTTTCTTTATACTCTTTTTTTAATGTACTATGTATAAGTTTTATTTTTTAAAATTTTTAAAAGATTTTATTTATTTATTTATTTTTGAGATTTTATTTATTTATTCATGAGAGGCACACAGAGAGAGGCAGAGACCTAGACAGAGGGAGAAACAGGCTCCATGCAGGGAGTCCAATGTGGGACTTGATCCTGGGACCCCAGGATCACACCCTGGACCAAAGGCAGACGCCTAACCGCTGAGCCACCCAGGTGTCCCTATACGTTTTACCTATTAAAAAATTGAAACAAATAAGGGGAGGGGAAGTGAGACCAGTCTGGAAGCTGTGACAGTCGTCCAAGGAAGAACTACTGGTGGCCTGGGTGAAAATAGTGGCTGGAAGTGAAGCAAAGCAGACAGGTTTGAGATCTTTTTGGAGATAAAATCCACAGGATTTGCTGATGGACTGGGTGTGGGAAATGAGGGAAAGAGAATAATCAAAGATGAGTCCAGGTTTCTGTTAAGCATCTGGGTGGGTGGAAGAGTTGCTTACTGAAGGCAGCCTTAAGGGCTCTTGAGCTTGCCGGCCTCAGCTTGAATTCAACCTATTCTGACCTGGGACAAATCATGTGATTGGTTTGTGCTTAGGAGCCTTCATCTATAAAATGGGAGTGGTCACAGGGTTGTTATAGGACTTAACTGACTTGATATATATATACTTGGGCACAGCTTCTGGCACATAGTAGAAGCTCTATATGTGATTGCTAGTATTATCATCGTTGTTATTCTTATCACCATGACCCTGCCCGCTGCTATGACTATAGCTCCTGCTCCTCCCCTCCTGTGTCAGGATGATGCTTGACCCATATTAGGGGCTCAGGAAATGCGTGGGAGGCAGGAATGTTTTAAAATTAATAACAGGTTTAACTAACTGGTTGATCTAAGAAATGCAAACTTTTGAAAGGCCCTTTTAGCATATGAAGAAATGAGGTAGTGAGGATAGGTAGGTTATGAGATTTGTTCATATCTGTTTTTTTTTATTCCATTTTCTGTACAGGCCTGAAGGGATTGAACGACAGTACAGGAAGAAGTGTGCAAAGTAAGTGTTTAACAACGTGGGTTTTTCCAAGCATAAGAAAGTAGAGACAGTAATGTGTTTGGAAAAGAATTATGTGGATACAATTCTCTGTTGTATCTTTATCCTTATAATCTCAACTGCCTTTGAACTTCAACTTCACAAATACCAATATGCTCCTTGGACAGACTAGTCAAAATCACATCTCTGACCAGCTGGTTACAGAAATTTTTTTTAACATAGTGTCATTTTTAAAATGGAGATATAATTTATATATGATAAAATTTGCCCTTCTTTTTTTAAAGATTTTATTTATTTATTTATTTATTTATTTATTTATTTATTTATGTATTTATTTTATTCATTCATTCATTCATTCATAAGAGACACAAGGAGAGAGAGAGAGAGAGAGAGAGAGAGAGAGAGAGGCATAGGTAGAGGGAGAAGCAGGCTCTATGCAGGGAGCCCGATGCAGGACTTGACCCCGGGTCCCCAGGATCACGCCCTGGGCCAAAGGCAGGTGCTCAACCACTGAGCCACCCAGGCGACCCACCCTTCTTCTTTTTTTCTTAAATAATCTCTATGCCCAGTGTAGGGCTTGAACTCACAACCTCGAGACCCAGTGTCATATGCTATACCGATGGAGTCAGCCAGGTGCCCCCAAAATTTGCCCTTCTTAAGCATACAACCTGATAAGTTTTGACAGAAGTATGCAGTCCTGTAACACTACCACTGCCACCGCCTGTCCTACAGGACGTTTCCAGTCCCCTATGTGCCCTTTGCAGTCAGTCCCCTTCTTTCCCCCTCTCTGGCAGCCACTGATCTGCCTTCTACAACTATGATTTTGCCTTTTCTAAGAATGTTTCCTGAATTCTGCAACATGTGTTCTATTACATACAATATGTATCTTTTACATTGCTGTTTTTCACTCAGCATAATGCTTCTGGGTTTCATCCAAGTTGTTACATTTTTAAAAAAGATTTTATTTATTTGAGAGAGAGAATGCACAGTAGTGAGGAGGAGAAAAGGACAGAAGCAGATTCTCTGCTGAGTAAGGAGCCTGAGCTAGGCTCCGTCCTAGGACCCCGAGATCATGGCCTGAGCTGAAGGCAGATGCTTTACTACTTGAGCCACCCAGGTGCCCCCAAGTTGTTACGTTTATTAATAGTTTGTTCTTCTTTATAGCTGAGTAGTATTCTATGGTGCTAGTTACACTTTTCACCCATAGAAGAGCATTTGAGTTGTTAACAGTTTGGAACTATTCTAAAAAAAGCTGCTATGAACATTCCAGTATAAATCTTGGTGGGGATATGCATTTTCTCTTGGGGTGGAATTGCTGGGTCATATGGTGAATGGAACATAGTGTAATGTAATCCAGATTTATTTATAAAGCCTATTATAGGACCACAGACCCAAGAGCTTTAGAGACTCTTCTTTATTTATTTATTTATTTTTTTTGAGACTCTTCTTTAAAGCTATATATACATTTTGAGCTTTAGGCTATTAATAGTGAGAATACTAAAACCACAGTAAATTTAATCTTGTTGATGGAACGATAGTTACATCTTGGCTTACAGAAGGCTCAGGCTAGGAGAATCAAGGCATGGAAATGGCTAAGAAGGCCTTTTAGTTCCCAGCCACACTAGAGTTGTTTACTTACTTTTATGTCTTTTTTTTTAAAGATTTTGTTTATTAAGTAATGTGTGCACCCAACATGGGGCTCGAGTTCACAACTCTAAGATCAAGAGTCACTCCACCCACTGAACCATCCAGGCACCTCACCCCCCCTCCATTTTATCATGTCTAATGAGTCTACCTCCTGTACCCGACAAAGTATAATAAAACTGACCAACCAAAGAAAGTATGACGACAATTACTCCACAGATTAGTTTGCTGACCACTGCAGTGGGGCATTTACACTCCCTCTTGACACTAAAATCCCAAACAAAACTAGACAAAACCTTTACACCAGTTACTTCTTGGAAGAATGGCAGCAGTTTTTTTTTCCCTAAAGGTATATCTACTTATTAGAGCAAGAGAGAGGAGCCCAAGCAGACTCCTTGTTGAATGTGGAGCCTGACATGGAGCCCGATCCCATGACCCTGAGATCATAACCTGAGCCAAGGATTGGATGTACCACCCAGGCACTCCAGCAGTTTTTTAAATATATATTTTTAGAAGCTTATATTATTTTAAAATATTTTTTTAAGTAATCTCTCCACCCAACATGGGGCTCGAACTCACAACCCCACAATCCAGAGTCACATGCTGTCCCAACCAGACCATCCAGGTGCCCCAGAATGGCAGCAGTTTTAACTTGTAAGCAACCAGTAGCAGGAACTAGCATTTCCCAAGCTTGTCCAATGATAAGAATCACTTGAGATGCTGAGGAAAATGACAGATTCCCAGGCCTCAGCTCCCAGATTTGCTGAATCAGGATCTTCTGAGGGAGGGACCTGAGAATCTGAGCAGCAATTTTAACAAATTCTTACTTGTTAAAGTGATTCCTCAGTGATTCTTATGAAGTAGATTCACTTTGTGAATCCATGTTTTGGAGATTTGTATTCTGAACTTCCCAGAGATTCACACTCTGCTCTTTGCAGGTGTGGACTGCCACTCTTCTATCAGTCCCAGCCGAAGAATGCCCCCGTGACCTTCATTGTGGATGGAGCAGTGGTCAAGTTTGGCCAGGGTTTTGGCAAAACGAATATCTATACTCAGAAACAAGAGCCTCCTAAGAAGGTAATTATTGAAGGAGACTGGTTAATATAGCCACAAATCTACAGATTGCCCTACATTTTTAAATAAGATTATAATGAGAAAGTGCCCTTTATGGATGAATTCTTAATTAAGAGAATGACATTTTTATGTGTAAGCAGATGTTCAATGTAACATCCATTATGTGTTCTTTTCTTTTTCTTATAGCTGTCCCATGAGTAACATTAGAAATTGTATGGTTTTGATTCACATTGATTTTCTTTGAAATATCTTGTTTTTTCAGTGTGGATGGTTAAGATGAAAGAATCAGGCTCATTTTTAAGTATGCTCTTAAAAGCCTTGATGGCAAATGTTAGAAAAATATAATCCAAATAGGAAAAAAAAAACATTGGCCCTTTTAGATAGACCAGTCTGTCCCAGAGAGGTGTGTCGCCCCCCCAGCCTTCTCCCACTGTAGTCAGGCATGTGCATCCTCGTTGCCATGCACACACTACATGCATGCACGCGTGCATGGCTCACAGAGCCTCTTGCAGAGAGTGAGACTGATTCTTCCTCCTGTGACTCCAGGTGATGATGACCAAACGGACGAAAGACATGGGCAAGTTCAGCTCCGTCACGGTGTCTACCATTGATGAGGAAGAAGAGGAAATTGAGGCTGTGAGTGCTTCTGTTCTCAAGGAAGCTGGGTTGGGGGGAGGACCTGGAAGGGAAGGGGATTCTAAAACCAGCCCATTCAAGCGGCAGAATAATTAGAAACTTTGCTCATAGGCCTCACTCGGCTGGGAAGAGACTAGAGGACACCGGGCCAGGTCCTGTTTGCCTAGATCTCAAGGACATCTGTAAAATGCCAACCAGGGAGTTGGACTAGTATTTTCATACTGTGTTCTGAGATGCTTTCAGAGGGCAAATCTCTCATCCCTCTTCAGTTTGAAACCTATCGGACTCAGCAGTTTCAGGTCCCTTTCAGTCCAGCTTGAGTGGTTTACAAGGCTCTCCTCAGCAGTGGTAGCAATTACTTTTATGGTACTTAAGTATAATGAGGTTTACAGAGAGATGTTATCTGTTCTTTTTCAAATGCTTTTGGCTGAAACCTGAGCTCTCTTAGATTATTGAAAAGCTGAAGAGTTTAAAGGGAACAGAGGCCATTTCAGTAATAATTTTGAGACCCGAGTAGTATAAATGGCTACTTGCAGTCTCTGTTACTCATCAGTACTGCCAGCTCAGGGGTGCTTCTTTTTCTCCCCCCAGAGAGAAGTTGCCGACTCGTATGCACAGAATGCCAAGGTGATTGAAAAACAGCTGGAGCGCAAAGGCATGAGCAAAAGGCGGCTGCAAGAGCTGGTGAGTGGCGTGGGGCAGCAAGGATGTCTTAGCCTGAAAGGCCCTCCAACAGCCAGGCAAATCCTGGAGGAAGTCTATCGGGGGTTACTGGTGTAGTTGGCTGCCACCTGGACTCCAACTGTTGGTGTACCCTGCTCTAGTGAGCACAGGGTTCAGGCCCTAAGTTACAATACTCGTTAGCTAGCCCTGACCAGAATGATACTTTAATCTGCTGCCTGTGGTCCAAGGTCAGGAGTTCAAGATCGGGCTTCATGGACACTCTTCCGATGTGAGGGCATACAGTAGTGCTACATTGGCATTACCAGGACGGGGCCTTCATTGCTGTTTAAAGCCCAGGTACCACCCCAAGTTTCTGTGCCGTTCACAGGCTCATCGTAGAGCATGTGCACTTATGTTTGATGGTGCCTGCAAGTTGTGTTTTCTTGATGATGATGTGCTTATAATATTTCTTTAAAATCAGACATCACTGCATTGGTGCCTCAAGGGTGGACCAGTTCATTCTAGAATGACTGTGGAGGATTTTTTGGTGACAGTGGTGGTGGGTCTTGGGAGCTACATTACCTTGCCATGGTGGTCTAGAGCAGCGCTTATCAGATTTTCTGAGATGAAGGACCAGGGCTTTCCTCTTTTTTTAAATTTCCAATCTGTCAAGAATAGATCTGTCATTTATAAAGTGCAGTAAAAAGGAATTTGCCTCAATTACTCCTATTATTTTATTTTATTATTGCTCTGTCAAATTACTATAGAAGTTTATAAGTGCTGACTCTCGATTTTACATATCTTGCATGAGCCAGTAACAAACAGTTCAGGGACTGTACAACCTGAAGTAACACTGTTCTAGAACCGTGTTTCTCTTCCTGTTCATCCAGGAGTGGGATACTGGTATACCGCAATACTGATTTCCTCAGCCCGTTGAGGGACCTGGGGTGTGTAGGGGCCCCACACTGATCACCTCTGACCACAGCCTTTCGTACTTACTCCATCTCCCCATGCATACCCCATCATTTTCGGTGTGGACTATTATATCAGGTTGGAAAGCAGTTGCTAGAGATTCATGATGATTTGACAACCACCGTTCCAAGTTTCTGTACTAAATGCACCCAAAGGATAGTGTTTGGGCAGTTAGAATAAGGAAGGAAAGTAAGAATTTTGTGTCATCTACTGGGGCATATACTTGTCTTCCTTTCCAGGCTGAACTAGAAGCCAAGAAAGCAAAAATGAAGGGGACCTTGATTGACAACCAGTTCAAGTGAATCAGGACCTTTCTCTCAACCCCAACTGGTGGCAAGCATTTAGATAAGGAGGAAAAAGAACTTTGTCTCGACTCCATGGACTGGTGCCCACCTTTTTGCCCCAGCAGAAGGCTTTACATTGCTTCCCACTGATTCCTCCTACCTTCGGTGAGGTCTTTGAGTCTATCTGACCTGCTTTCTAGAGATGGGTTTTCTAAATCTTTCTGTATATAGGCCTTCTGTACTATTTTTTGTCTGTTTCATGCACACTTCTTCAGCTATGTAGAAACTCTATGAATACATCAGTGCTCGAGTGTCTCTAGTTTCTAAAGTAGCCATTCTCCTTCCTTCTTCACAGTTAATATAACGTTTAAAGATGTTTGAAAAAAGCATTATGATGTGCCACAGAGAAAAGTATCATGGATTATATTTAAAGTTGCAGCAATTCTGATTCTTTTAAGTGACTCTATTCTTAGACTGGCAGGAATTGGCTATGGTTTGAATCTCTCTGCTGTCAGAAAAAAATCTACAAAAAGCCAGAATCTACATAAAGCTTCCTTCACTTCATGTTCAGAAAAACTTCCCTGGTAACAAACTACAGAAATGATCCCTGAAAGCATAGCCTTGCTTCCTCTATTTCAAGTGTTAAAGCAATAGGTGACTTACTCCTTATCAGACTTCATACTTAAGGAACAGCCCAATTGGAATGAGGGGTGGGGGAGAGCAGCTCAGATCGTAAATGAAAACAGGGTCTCAGTAAGCCACCGAAGTAAGTACCATCCCAGTGAGCAGCTCAGAAGAGTACTGCTTCCGTACATGGGTATAGGAGAGAGACAGTAAGAACCAATACTGAGAGTAGTGAGTGTATCTACTGGCTGTCTGGTATTTCACATTTGCTATTTGTAGAGGAGTGTTGTATATTTAAATATTTAGGGATGCCTGGGTGGCTCAGTCGGATAAGCATCTGCCTTTAGCTCAGGTCATGATCCTGAGGAGTGAGCCCCAAGTTGGGCTCTCTGCTCAGCAGGGAGCCTGCTTCTACCTCTTCCTTGGCCCCTCCCCACCGCTCGTGTTCTCTCTCTCTCTCTCTCAAATAAATACAATCTTGTAAAGATAAAAAAATTAACATCATGCAGTTAGAGATAGCAATATGTAGTGTTACATACATGTTTTTATCTGTTTACTTTATTGCAAGCTGCTGCAGCTGGAAGAGGATTTTAACCTCCTTGTATTCTCCACTTAGCAGTCGCCCAGGACCTATATGTGAGGTGCTGTTGGGAAATAATTGGGCATTTTTCCCTGACTTCCTCATTTAGCGTAGGGGGGTAGATGTGAGCTAGCGAGAACTGGGAGAAAGAAGGGCGTCAGGGATCCTGGGAAATCCTGGGTGGGGCTGTGTTACCATCTTCCCAAGTTATTCCCCTGCATCCAGTGAGGTCTTTGCAACCAAGTCTTCCTCTCCATCTCATTTCCTATCCTCATTCAGAAAGATACTTTGACATTATATGGAGAGCCAACCATATCTCCTAACAATTCCTTAACCTCACCCCTAAACAGTGACCTTTACCTTCACACCACTTTAGTTACAAACTCCTGTGACTACAGCTTGGCTGCCATGTCCAGTGTCTCTGAAATCCAAAATTCTAGAAATCCAGAATTCTATTTTGTCATCACAACCTCCTAACATTGCTATTATCATGCTCATAGTTCACTAAACCTGTTTTGTTTGTTTTTAGATTTGAAGGGTGATAATTTTATTAGTACTTATAATAAAAAATAGTAGTAGTTTACTGATGATAATACTTTCTAGTGGGTATTTACTATGTTTCACGTGCTACGGAAAGTGCTTTATGGGTATTATCTTAAACAAGATGACAGTACTATGAGACAGATCTAACTGTTCTCATTTTCATTTTATAAATGAGTATCTGAGGCTCTAAGAGTGTAAATTTCCCAAGATCCCCTAGCCAGGAAGTGATCAAGCCAGAAATCTGACTACAGAACTAGGCTAAATTGCTATTCTTATGGGATTTTTAAAAAATATTTTATTTATTTATTCATCAGAGACACAGAGAGAGAGGGGGGGGCAGAGACACGGGCAGAGGGAGAAGCAGGCCCCATGCAGGGAGCCCAACGTGGGACTCGAGCCTGGGTCTCCAGGATCACACCCTGGGCTGAAGGTGGCACTAAACTACTGAGCCACCCGGGCTGCCGTCTTACGGGATTTAAAAAAAAAAAAAATCTATTATTGAGAGTGGATAGCAATTTCATTTTGAGAAACCAAGTAAAATGCGATATAAAGACACATAGAGGTCTCCTTGTAGCAGTTGTGTCGTTACCTTTCCACATATTTTCTGAACTATTTGTCCTTAGCTACTCACTCTAAACCCATTTTGACATCTGGTTCAGATTACGCATTTTGTTTCATCTTTAAGACTGTAAATCAGTGTGTCATTAGCACCAAATAAACATGTGCTCTTCAATGTTTTCTTTCATATTGAAATACTTACTAAAATGATATGACATGGTTTCTCTAGTCTCTATTTTCTTATAGGATATTAGCAGCAAATACAGTGTTTTACTGTTACTATAAAGAGCCATATTGAAATTTTGGAGAGTCTTAGCCTGCTTTATTTTGTGTTTGTTTTTGCAGATTGTCAACTGTAATGAAAGAGTAAAATGTAAAAATTTTCCACTGTAATAATGGTGACATTTGAAAGTGTAATTCTACTGCATAAGAGGAATTGAAAAGCTTTTTAAAAACTAGCTTGTCTCCACCACTTTGTAATCCTTATCACTTGTGGACCACCTCCTTTTCTCAAGGAAAAAGCTTCCTTTCTTAATTTCCTTGATGTTTTATTCTGCTGCTTCTTTACCTGACTACTCCATCTTCTTACTCAGTTCTAACAAAGCACAGTACATTACATTTGAGCTTTTAGTGTTTGATATTCCTCCAGGAAAACAAAAAACATCACTTAGGGTGAACTAAACCTGCTTTTGTACTTCACAGAACCTCGATCCTCCTGTTTTCCCCCAGTATTGCCATTCTCTTACTGCCTGTCTTCTTTCTGACCCAGCCTGATCTTGTGGTTGGGGATCTGAAGTGCTCTTACCTTCAACACTTCCGACCTTGAGTTTGTTTATTTGTTGTTGTTGTTGTTTTTTTAAGATTTTTCTTATTCATGAGAGACACAGAGGGGCAGAGACATAGGCAGAGGGAGAAGCAGGTTCCCTGTGGGGAGCGTAGGACCCCAGGATCATGACCCTGAGCCAAGGCAAAGATGCTCAAACACTGAGCCACCCAGGCATCCCTGTTTGTTCTGTTTTTAAAGTAGGCTCCACACCCAGTGTGGGGCTTGAACTCAGGACCCTGAAATCAAGGGTCTCCATTCTACCGGCTGAGCCAGCCAAGTGCCCCTGACCTTCAGTTTTTTACCTTAAAAATTTTTGAATCATTTTAGATGTACAGAAAAGTACCAGAGATCATTCAGAGAGTTTCTGTATACTCTCCACTCAGTTCCTCCACTGTTAACATCTTGTATAATGCTATGGGCTGAATCATGTCCCCTCCAAAATTCCTATGTTGAAGCCCTAACTCCCAGTGTGATGGGATTTGGAGATGGGCCTTTGGGAAGTAATTAGGTTTAGATGATGTCATGAGGTGAGACTCTTGTGATAGGATTAGTGCTCTTAAGAGACCAGAGAGCTCTCTACCACATGAAGACACAGCAAAAAGGTGGCCATCCACAAGACAGGAAAAGCATTCTCACCAGGAACTGAATCAGCTGGCACCTGGACCTTGAATTTTCCCCAGAACTGTGAGAAATAAATGTCTATTGTTTAAGCCACTCGGTCTATGATACTTGGTTATAGCATCCCAGACAGACTAATATATATAAAGCCATAGTACAGTGGTCAAAACTAAGAAGTTAACATTGGTACGATAAAATTAAACTACATGCTTTATTTGGATATCACCAGTTGTTCCAGTATGTCCTCTTTCTGTTCCAGGACCTTCTTTACAATTGCATGGTGCATTTAGCTGCCATGTGTCTTTAGTCTCCTCTAATCTATGACAGTTTCTCAGTGGTATCTTGTGCTTTTTTTTTTTTTTTTTGGTATCTTGTGCTTTTAATTTGCAACCGAGTCTTCCCCTAATGACAGATGATGTCTTTGCAATCCTACTTAACATTTTTGGCTAAATACCTGGAAGGGGATTTCTGGATCATGACAATTCTGTTTCATTTTTTAAAAAAGATTTTATTACAGAGAGACCTCCCTCTCAGCAGAGAGCCCGACATGGGGCTCGATCCCAGGATTCTAAGATCATGATCTGAGCTAAAGGCAGATAGTTAACTTACTGAGCCACCCAGGCACCTCTCTATGTTTAATTTTTTGAGGAACCACCATAGGGTTTTCCACAGTGGCTGCATCATTTTACGTACCCATCAGTAATATACAGGGCTCCAATTTCTCCACATCCTTACCAACACTTACTTTCTGTTTTTTTGACAGTAGCCATCCTAATAGGTGTTAGGTAGTATTTCATGGTTTTCATTTGCATTTCAATTAGTGATGTTGAGTAACTTTTCATATGATTCTTGGCCATTTGTATACTATCTTTGGAGGAAGGTCTACAATCATTTTTAATTGGATTATTTGATTATTTGTTGTCATGAACATATTTTTAACATCTGTATGTCTTCTTTGGAGAAGCATCTGTTCAGATCTTTTGCCCATTTTTTTCAAATATTTTATTTACTCATGAGAGACACAGAGAGGCAGAAACAAAGGCAGAGGGAGAAGCGGGCTCCCTGCAGAGCCTGAAGCAGGACTTGATCCCAGGACTCTGAGATCACGACCTGAGTCAAAGGCAGATGCTCAACCACTGAGGCACCCGTGCATCCCTCTTTTGCTCATTTTTAAACTGGGTATCTTTTTTTATTGTTGGGTTTTAAGCGCTCTTTGTATAATCTGGATATAAATCTATTATCAGATATGTGATTTGTAACATCTCCCAGTGTGGGGCTTATCTTTTTATTCTCTTAATAGGATACTAAGACAAGTAATAGCTTTCATGACCCAGGATCATGCAGATTTACTTCTGTAAGGTTTATATTTTACATTTTGGTCTGTGATCCATTCTGAATTTTTAAAAGATTTTTTAGTTTTTATTTTAGAGCAGAGGGGAGGAGCAGAGGGAGAGGGAGAGAATGTCAAGCAGACTCCCTGCTGAGCACAGAGCCTGGCGCGGGGCTCCATTTCATGACCCTGAGATCATGACTTGAGCTGAAACCAAGAGTTGGATGCTCAACTGACTGAACCACCCACATGCCCCTATTATTTTTTTAAGATTTATTTGTTGAGAGAGAAATCAGGGAGGGGGAGAGGGGGAGAGAGAGAGAGTCTCAAGCTGACTCTGTACTGAGCATGGAGCCTGACACAGGGCTTGATCCCAGGACCCTGAGATTATGACCTGAGCCAAAAGCTAGAGTCAGACACTTAACTGACCCACCCAGGCACCCCAGTGCCCCCATTTTGAATTAATTTTTATATAAGATATGATACATGTGTAAAGGTTCATTTTTTTTGCATATAATGTCCAGTTTTTCAACCTCATCTGCTGAAAAGACTTTCCTTTTTCCATTCAGTTGCCTTTGTACCTTTGTCAAAAGTTAATTGACTATATTGTTGGACTTTTTCTTTTGTCTATTGTCTATGCTTGCACTAGTACCACCCTATCTTGACTTGATTATTATGGCTTTGTAATGAGTCTTGAAATTGAGTACTCACCGCTCTATCATGAATAAATAAATAAATAAATCTTTAAAAAAATGTTTTGTTTATTCTAATCAGCTTGTTGGTATCTGAAATTCTTGCTGGAATTTTGATTGGAATTGTGTAAAATCTAAAGATCAAGTTGGGGAGAATTGACATCTTAGTAATATTGCATTTTCTGACCCATGAACACAGCTATCTCTCTATTTAGATCTTTGATTTTTTTTATTTCATATATTTGAGAGAATGAGAGAGAGCATGAGTGGTGGGGGCAAGGGGCAGAGGGAGAGGGAGAAGCAGGCTCCTCTCTGAGCAGGGAGCCTGAGGTAGAGCTCAATCCCAGGACTCTGGGATCATGACCCGAGCCAAAGGCAGATGCTTCACCGACTGAGCCACCCAGGCATCCCTCTTTGATTTTTTTCATCAGTGATTTGTAGTTTTTCTTGTACAGATCAGAAGAATATTTTGTTTAAATTTATATCTAAGTACTTCATTTTTTTCTGGTGTTATTGTAAACCGTATCCTTTTTTTAAAAAAAGATTTTATTTATTCATGAGAGACAGAGAGAGAGGTAGAGGCACAGGCAGAGGGAGAAGCAGGCTCCATGCAGGGAGCCCGACGTGGGACTCGATCCCCGGTATCCAGGATCACACCCTGGGCTGAAGACGGTGCTAAACCGCTGAGCCACCTGGGCTCCCCAACCTTATCCTTTTTAAAAAATATTTAATTTTTATTTTTTTTAAGTAATCTCTACACCCAATATGGGGCTCAAACTCACAATCCTGAGATCCAGAGTTTCGTGCTCTACTGACTGAGCCAGCCAGATGCCCCAAATCTTATTTCCTTTTAAGTGAGAAAAATAATCTCAGAGTAGATCTGCAAACTCACTGAGACCTGTTCTGATACAAACTCAGCCTGAAATTCCATTTATCTCCTGACCCCATGCTCTAAGCCCCCAGTCTGACCTCTGTCTTGTGGTGGGTGTTCTGGCTCTCCTTTTCTAGTAAACAAGAGTTTTGGTCAATAGCTGTAGGACCTTTTGGAGAAGGCCATAAAGAAACTTTGCAATATGTATTTGTGGCAATGTCCAGGTGATGCATTGTCTCTTGGCTCAGAGATTTCTAGGTAAACTGGTCTGGAATTACAATAGGTCTTGGAAGGGACACCTGGGTGGCTCAGCGGTGGAGCATCTGCCTTTGACTCAGGTCGTGATCCCGGGGTCTGGGATCGAGTCCCACATCGGGCTCCCCACAGGGAGCCTGCTTCTCCCTCTGCCTATGTCTCTGCTTCTCTCTCTGTGTGTCTCATGAATATAAAATCTTTTAAAAAAACAGGTCTGGGAAGTGGGTAAGAGGCAATACCACTTCATCATAGTGACAGCAATTGCAGTTAGATGTGCAGAGGCCTACAGTTCTTTTAAAAAAAAATACACAGATTTATATTTAGTAACAGTCTTCTGCCCAAATATTCTAAGCCATTGCCAATGATTCCTAATTATCAAACATTCTGATTAATACCTTGGACTTGTTTTTTTATTACAGCAACTGGGCTTTGTTAGAAACAAATAGATAAATCTTAAATCCCTTTGATATTATAATATCTGCCCTGCAAACTCCCAATTCAGAATCAGTCCCACAATCTGCCTTCTCTGATCTTTTACCCAAATAGATGAGTGTCCATATCTTGTAAATGGGTGCAGTTTGAC